AGTCAGTTCAGCATACAGAGTGGCAATGAATACGCCTGCATCAATGGCATCAGCCATTGCCAACATCTCTCCTGCTAATGTGCTTCGGACAACCCGGCGGATTTTACGAGAGTTCCAACATATTGGTGAGAACTTTCCTGATTGTCCCCGTAAGAAAATAAGATACCCCGCTTGACTGCCACCATCTGGGAGGTATTTTCCATAAACAAGTTGATATGAAATATATCCGTGTACATTACACAAACTATTCTTTGCTGACAAAGCCCAGCTAAGCGCCGTCTCCCAGTCCAAACTTTTTTCTGACTTAACTTTTCTCAGAATTTCTGTTAACGATTGGTTGTGTCTCTCCAGAAGCCCATTGCTCCATGGACTGTAAGCTGCAGTAGTTTTGAACTCAATGTTAAAATTCTCACACATGTCCATTACCTCCTTATTGTTAAACTCACCACCATTGTCGCTGAACAATCTCCTTGGTGCCCCATGAATGCTAATTCAATGCTGGATAAAGTTCTGTACAAAAACAGACGGTTTCTTACTGGTAATTATGGATCCAGCACTAAATCTAAAAAACTCATCTATGATGTGTAAATGCCATAGGTTACTTTCCAACTCTTGCAAATCGACAGCTACAGTCTCGTTAAAATCAGATGGTAATGGAAAACCAACTGCAGGTTTGGGAGATTGTTTTTTACATTTGAAGCACACTTCACAGTTGTCAACCACTTCCACCAGATTCTGAAAGACATTTTTATCTTTTGTGCCAGCATTCTCCAATAATTTTCTTAATCGTTCTGCCGAGGCATGCCCAAATTGGCGGTGCAGTTTTACCAGGATTTTCTTTTGATCCACTCTGTTTATATTCTCACCAATCAGTATCATTTCACTTTCAGTCACCTCAGGCTCTGTATCATCAGCCATCAAGGCCATAGCTTGTTGATCAGTAATTTTGTTCTCTTGGAATTTCCTGATGTCAACACAATAATGTCCGCTAGATGTGAATTCTAGTTTAACAGGCTCTTTGAACATTTCTGCTTTGTCGTTGCAAATATCTAATTTTGTCTCAGCTCTCTTTAATGATGTTTTACTCAGCAACAGAGGTATATCTACATCTACCACTTCTGTATCAATCTTGCAAATATTGTTTCCTATCTTTGCCGGTAGTATGACATTTTCCTTTGAAATCATCTTCTTACCATCACCAAATTTGAAGGCTTTATTACTGCATTTCCTGATAACCGCCTTTTTCTGTATGGTGTCGAGATCATCCACATAATTTTCCAGCCATTTTCTTCCACACACAGTGTGTGTACATGCAGTGGCAATTATAGCACACCCAAATTACTCAGTCATTAAAATCTCATTATCAGGCTGTTCTTTAGTAAGTAAAGTTATATTACATGTCTCATTAATCGGATCATTCTCTTGAACCATGCATGCCTTTTGTTCATCTTTGTCTGGGCAATTCTTAGCCCAGTGGAATACTGACTGGCAGACCATGCATCTGGTTCTCTTCCCATATCTATCCAATGGATTTGTACCTCTAGGGGTTTCAGAGTTATCCGAATTTCTGTACTTTTTGGGTTGCTTATATGATGGAAAGGCCTTTTTGCCACCTGAGAACTTGGAATTATTAAATCTTTCAGTGACATATGCCGATTCCTGTTTTATCGTGATGCCAGAGGCGCAATTCCCGCTCAAATCACTTTCCCCAGTCACGTGATCCCCGGAAAAAATTCTCTTCAAGGCCGATTTCATTGATGCAAACTTTAAATCAGACGCCGCTGTTAACACCATTTGCCTCTCGGTCTTATCTAATTGGGCTTTATCCAACAGCTTGAAGGCAAGAACAGCATCGGGAAGGGTCATTTGGTACTTTTGACATTGGGTATACAGTCGTTCGTACTCAACAATAAATTCCGCCATCGGCATGTTTTCCTTTCTTCAGTAAGACTCACATTTTGAATAGGCATCGTACGCAAGATCGACTGTTTCTTTCATAAATAAAGAATCCAGTTCTCTAAGCAAAATATCCAAACCATCTTCCTTATTAAGCTCACTTACTTCTATATCAAGCGCCTTCGCTTTGGCTTGGCCAGTGATAGCCCTGCGTACAGCTCTGTGTGTACGGGGACGCGTTCGGTTGATAGATGTCCCCACCACAGCCCTGCGAACTTCCATAGACGAAGTCCGGGACTTTGAAAAATATAACTTTTTTAATGAAATAACATGCCAGATATATCCAGAACTCCCAGTTCGGAGTCCAATTGTGGATGAAATCGGCTACTTTGCCCTAAAAACAAACGCATTCTCTCGCGTGAATGAAATTAAAAATGGCGGCGTTTGGTGGATAATTCCTCCCGTACCTGCGCGTTTACAATTTGTCCGTCTTTGCTAGTCGTTTTTTTAAGACATTTCAGTTTCAGATAACTCTGTAATGGTTGTTACGGATAACTATCGTAATTTCAACCGATTTCGGCTGAGAAACTACTTATTTTTAACTTGCGCACCAATTACGGTGCGCTCCCGGATTTTGTCTATGGAGGTACGCAGGGCTGTGGTGGGGACATCTATCAATCGAACGCGTCTCCGTACACACAGCACTGTACGCAGGGCTAGGCCAGTGAGTGACAGAGTTACCGCTAACGCCTGTTTCTTTTTCTCGATGTCGGTCATCAGTCTCCATATTTTAACTTCATTTTTCCATGTTTCGTAAACCGCATCGGAAGCAAACACGGGTGGATTCTTGTAATTATTTGCCATGCTTATGCTCTGCTACCATTTAATAAGTCATTAATACCGAGAACACGGAAATATAACGCAACTCACCAAAAACAAATATGGCGCCACATACTAACATAACGACTCGAGTCCGACCCGAACGTCTTCGGAAAGCTCCGGAAATAAGGGACGTCCCATAGATAAAGTTCGCAGGGGGAAAAGGTAAACCATAGTTATCATTCGCGGGTCTATAGTAACCATCTATGGCATTGAAAGCAATTAACAATTGCTCATTTATACGTAAACGTAAAATCCTAATATGTAGTGGGTCTAAAGTTGCCATCTATGGCCGCGTAACTAATTAACGTTGTTTATATCCAACAATTGGATATCTATATTTGTACATTTAAAATAGTTAAAGTAATATATAGTGGATATAGAGGCGCCATCTACAGCATGTAAATAAATTAATACCACTCTAGGTCACGTGTAACATTGTTCTAAGCGTACATTTATTACTGTAACACCTATTGTTCTTCACGGTTACATTGATATTCAAATTAGTAAACCTTAAATTTATGAATAGACTTAATTAACATATGAATAAAACTGTGAAGTTCACTAATTTACATATGATACGTAACACCACGTCACTCAATGAAATATTCAAGACAGATGGAAGGCGCTTTAAAGCACCTGCTTTCAATGAATTCATCAGTACAACATTATAACACAATATTTGAATTTGAATAGAAATGCCTTGAAAGGAACCTCTAGATTCACTTTGAATGGTGGTCGCTATTGGTTGCGTACGATGAGGTGATGACACGCGTTTTTTTTGGTCCTTGATGCCAAGTTCAACCACTGGATTTGGCGGTTGCAGAGCATCAGACACTGTTTTCTGCAGTGAAGTGCTGGTTTGCTTGTAGACCATCATCAGAGCGGTGCCCGGTGCGTTCTTTGATAAGTTGCTCATCGAAGCCGTTCTCACTGCTGTAAACTCGAAATAATAACATTTAATCTGACTCAGTTATACATTAACAAATAATAAAGAAGTCCGCATTTCAAGCTCGCAATCCACGTGCATAATTACCAAAACTTAATATTCTATTGCCTCGTACAACAAAAAAGACAATTAAGCGTGTATTATTAACCATAGTCCTTCTATCCCCGGTCTGGGAACGGTCATTGTATTAGGTGTGAATTGGCCTCCTTCCCTGGCAAAGGCGCATTGCGGGGGCAAAGCATTCCAAAATTCGTGCTTTTTCACATAATATTTTAATCAGGATAAATGTATAAGGTCATATTTTAGCCGGCGAGTAGATCTTTAATTCATCTATTTCACCAGCAGCGACACATTTTCGCAACAATTTTTCATACCTTTAGTCAGATATTTGTCGTTTTTGATTTTGGGGTGATTGAAATGAACTCAATATTTGTCTTCGATTTTGACATTTTATGACCGAAACATCATTAAAAATTGGTAGGCTGATTTGTTATTTGTCACACCGCATTTTATTAATGTTAAATTGAGCGACTTTTATGGATGCTTTTATTTTAGATCGTAAATGCAAATGTACTCAATTCTGTGCTAAAAAAATCATTTATATACAAATATTGAAGCATTGTTATATACGTTTGCATATAATAAAGTCATTAGTTGTTGTATAGTCGACTTGAATCTGTTATGAACCTCCCAAGAATCAGAAATATCACAGGTTTTTCGATCGACTACGACGCCATTTTGACAAGATTTGTTTAGCGATGTCAGCATGTTGGCACGCGAAGTTTTTTCCCTATTAAAACTAGAAAATGAACATAATTCCCAATATTAATCTTTGCATTGCAGGAACTGGATGTTTATGAGTTGGTAGGCTGGTTGTGGTGCGTATCAGGATTCAAAAAACCCAAATTTCATAGTGATAATTTTGTTTACATGTTTGTTTACGTTGTGGTTGCCCGAATTTGAAGTCAAAGTGAAGTCATACAATGAGGTATCGCTTTGCATGACGGTAAATTTTCCGATTTTAATAAATATTTTGACGGTATTGTAATCTGTCTGACTTTCTGACTCCCTCGGCCCGGGTGTGAACGGTTTGTTTATCCGCACCGCGGTTCGAGACAAAAGAACGCTAGTCGTTTCCAGACCGGGGATAGAGGGATTGTGTATTAACTTACTAATGAACGTGATTGCAATTGTAACACATACTAACCTTGCCAGAATGACCAGATCACACATTCGCAACGAATATTGGCGTAGAGTATTAATCCCGATCGTTTGCTTAGAATATTTCAATGTCCCACCCTTGCTGACCCAGTGGCGTAGGTTTTGGACCAGATGGGGTAGACAATTCAAGTACTTGGTTTACAAATTTTATCACACAACGCGGATTTTTTGGATTACTATACTGACGAACGTCTTTGTATGGCATTTTTCTTGCATTGTACAGCCCACCTTGATTGTTCTTACATGGCCGGCCACGAAACTCAATATATTCCCCATCCTTGTCCGTCCCTTTAACAAACTGTTCAACTGCGTGATTCGAATGTTCATCGACTGCTCTTAGTGCAAATATTTTACACACATAGAAATATGCAGCATAGCGCAAACTAGTTGTTGTATCCGGGGAAAATATCTTCTGCCACAACTTATCTTCATCATCGTCAGTGTATGATGCTGCCTGTCGCTTCTGCGAGCCTATCCCGCGTTCGTCGATTTTCTTCAAAACGTCATCGAGCGTTTTATGGAATTCGATGAATTCTAAACATCGTGTAACCATGAAACGTAGATCAGGACATTCATCTAGACTTGCCCAGCTGTGGTGATTTTTTTCAGTTAAAAAAAAAACCACCACAGTCTGGACTTATTTGCAGCGAACCTGTTATTCATGATATGCAGTGACATCACTGAACGGATACAAAAATGGAGTGGGGGCGTGTGCGCTGCATAATGAGGTAACATTGTGGGTCTTCTGTGCAGATGGCACTTCACTGTAACCCAGGCACAGTCACTTGGGGGCTGAAAATCAATAAATAGTAATTTTCAATAAAATATCATCATCTATAAATAGTAACTCGTTTGTTATGATTGACGATCGAGAAACTTGCAGAAAAGTGAAGTTTTCAGGCAGAAAGGTTAACTAGATAGAGTTTAAAGGTTAAATTACTCTGATTGGATGAGTTCTTGCCTGCCATTCTGCACTAGTTCCTGCTTTCACTACAGAGGGCGCGGCAAAAACGTCCAGTCTGGGTGATTTCGCGGTTACAGGGGATTTCGCGTTAACACCTTTATTTCGCTATTTTTTTTATTTAATTTTAAATTTAAAAAGAAATAAATTTCCCAGACTGTGCCAGTCTAACATTCATCGTGTAAATATCGCTGTATAGCACTACACAGCACGCGGAGACTACTGGACGGGTATTCGGTGCCGTCTTGTCTGCGCACCTTTACGACGAAACGACACAACCAACAGATTAGCTCTTTTGCATGTGTCTCGTGGCACAAGCTTGGTACGGTAATAAATGATTCGCTACTGGAAACGCCATACTTTTCAACACGCTCATTTCTGCCACGTCCCCATGCATCCCAAACAGAGACGCTCCAGTTGGTTGACTTGTGTGTGTTTGCAGGAATGCGCGATTCTTATAATGCAGTCAATTGTTCGTTACCAACCGGAAGTGCAAATCTATCACGCTATTGTTTCTTCGTCAGCGTGAAATCTTCTTTATCGTCCAGGGGCGTTTCGATATCAAACTGAGAACAGAAACTTTCAATTTTGGGATTATACTCAGACTCGAAGACGTCCAATTTGGTTTCCATGCTGAAGTAAGGCCAGAGTGGGAATGAATGACACGCTCGTGTTTTGCCACACAAATTACAGACTGATCTACCTGGGTATGTGTAGTCATGATGTCGACCAATCAGATCATTGTATTACATCACGCATTACCAATCAGAAGAAATTAATGCATACTCAGATGTAGGGCGTTGGTTAATTCATAAGCAGATCCGTATTGGTCGACCACCGAGTAACATCGCAAAACCGTGGATATTTTTATTTGTATTCCCATTTCCTCTTATTTCGTGGTATAAGTCGGTAATTGAACGGGTTTTCGTAGGGTAAACCTACTCGACCCCGTACAGTTACCTATACTAAACTTTTTTTATATCCAACAATAGTGTATATATACCTGAATATTCTAAAGCGCCATTACCGAATAGTGTTTAAAATGTATCGAATTATGGAAACTATTCAGCACGTGGTTTAGTCGTGACTACGCATATGCATTTTCTATAGTGTTTTTTTGATTTTTGTATTCACCTGTTTCTGCTTGATTACAATTCATACACTGACACAGAGGGGTATGGTAATGACCCACATATACCTATTTTGCGGATATTGTATCGATAGACTGGCTCAATTGTTATAGCAATGTTCAAGTAGGGAGAACTTAGTCACGTGACCTTGATTCCTTGCGATCGTATATGTTCTTGTATTGTAATACATAATGTGCACCATCTTTTTTTGATATCACACCTACAATTGTAGCTTTTTATTTTACGTCTGTAATTTGTGACAGTGACAGTAACTTTGAAAAGGATTTTGACATATAAATACATACGAACCACTAGAATTTTTACGATGTGTAAATGGAGATCATTCGGGATGTTGTCATGGAAACTAAAGCAATATATAACATCAGTCGCGGTCGTCATACATGTTGGCATCGGTTTACCCATAGTCGCGACAACAAACAGTATATCGACCCAGGTTGGGGTCACTATTTATCAATATGCATCAAAGAAGTAAAAGAAAGGTGTAAATGTAACATAATGATGCTTAAATGATGTATTTGTTTTGAAAACAAGCGAGCGTCTGGTATATTATTATACCTCATGACCATGACAGCCAAACAGATTTGCGCATTACAGGTAGACATATTTGCATGTCTACCTACATATGGGTATTAGATTTATTCGGTATAATAATACAAATGCTTACCCCAACATACAGTTTTAGAGACCTCAGAGCTGTTCGGGTCGCTACAACTGTATGTTCACCTTTATAGGGGTGAACATTTGTATAATGTTGAACCGTTATGAAATCCATCATATAAACTGTCCTGTGTTTAGAGGTATGTATCTTCTGACGTCACACACAACTCTTCATTGATAACACAGTCATCTAAATAAGTATGATCCGAACCATACCACAAACCAACAGAAGGTAATTTCCGCCATACGTCAACAATCTTGTTCCAAGATTTGAGAATATAATTGTTCTTTAGTTCATCTTGGCTGAAAAACTTGTTTATATTTTCCTTTGCATGTTGCCTTGCGATTTGCTGAAACAAATTATACTAATGTTTATAATGTTAATTTCATTGCACAACATGTACTGAAAATTGGGATGATGATAAAGAACATTTGGAGAACGTTTGAAGATAGAATATGTGATGTCTTCAATACTTTTATACATATATATTATGCATGATAAGATGATCTAGTACGTGACGGTGTAGATGTCTATACTGATATGTAATATTGGACATGCTAAACAATCACCACAAAATTGTGGTAAACAGCATAGTCAGCATAATGTATTGAGTGCAAATCTACGATTAATAATAAATTGAAACTTTTGACTAGCTGTAGGGTTTAAGTTGCGTTATGAGGGTAACAATTGGAACAATATTGAGAAATCAAATCTGTACATGATTTTAAGTTGTTTACCTTAGATTGTTTGCCAAATTCTTTCTCTTCCATGTCACGATAAATATGGTAGTACTGTATATGTTCATAGGTATATTTGTTAGACATTCTCCGGATGAACATAATTGCAAGCAGTGAAAGACTGACTACTATCAACAGAGCCAACCCAATAATCTGTGATATTGCTTTGTGGTTGTTATTCAAAGCAAGACTAGAGTCATTAACTTTACACTCAGTGATAGACATACAACATGCCAAATAACTGGAAATAAAGTATTCAATAGTGTCATTATATGTATTATGTTTGTCGTGTTCTGTTTTTGTGTTTTGCAAATTTGTGTTTCTATAACAATTTTGACTGAGAGTAACCACCAGATCGCATACTCTTTGGCCTGAGAGGAGCGCACAGATCACATACTCTTAAGCTTGAGTGCAGCTCACATATCACATACACTTTAACTTGAGAGCAGCTCACATATCACATACACTTTAACTTGAGAGCAGCTCACATATCACATACTCTTTAGCTTGAGAGAAGCTCACAGAACACATACTCTTTGGTTTGAGAGCAGCTCACAGATCGCATACTCTTTGGCTTGAGAGCAGCTCGCATATCACATACCTTTTGGCCTAAGAGCAACACACATATCACATACTCTTTGGCTTGAGAGCAGCTCACAGATCACTTACTCTTTGGCTTGAGAGCAGCTCACAGATCACATACTCTTTGGTTTGAGAGCAGCTCACAGATCACATACTCTTTGGCCTGAGAGCAGCTCACAGATCACATACTCTTTGGCTTGAGCGGAGATCACATGTCACATACCCTTTAGCTTGAGAGCAGCTCACAGATCACATAGTCTTTGGTTTGAGAGCAGCTCACAGATCGCATACTCTTTGGCTTGAGTGCAGCTCGCATATCACATACCCTTTAGCCTGGGAGCAGCTCACATATCACATACTCTTAAGCTTGAGAGCAGCTCACATATCACATACCCTTTAGCTTGAGAGCAGCTCACAGATCACATACTCTTTGGCTTGAGAGAAGCTTACAGATCACATACTCTTTGGTTTGTGAGCAGCTCACAGATCACATACTCTTTGGCTTGAGCGGAGATCACATGTCACATACCCTTTAGCTTGAGAGGAGCTCACATATTACATACCCTTTAGCTTGAGTGGAGCTCACAGATCACATACTCTTAAGCTCGGGAGCAGCTCACATATCACATACACTTAAGCTCGAGAGCAGCTCACAGATCACATACTCTTAAGCTTGAGAGCAGCTCACAGATCACATACTCTTAAGCTTGAGAGCAGCTCACATATCACATACCCTTTAGCTTGAGAGCAGCTCACATATCACATACTCTTTAGCTAGAGAGCAGCTCACATATCACATACTCTTTAGCTTGAGAGCAGCTCACATATCACATACTCTTTAGCTAGTAAGCAGCTCACATATCACATACCCTTTAGCTTGAGAGCAGCTCACATATCACATACTCTTTAGCTAGAGAGCAGCTCACATATCACATACCCTTTAGCTTGAGAGCAGCTCACATATCACATACTCTTTAGCTAGAGAGCAGCTCACATATCACATACCCTTTAGCGTGAGAGCAGCTCACATATCACATACTCTTTAGCTAGAGAGCAGCTCACATATCACATACCCTTTAGCTTGAGAGCAGCTCACATATCACATACTCTTTAGCTAGAGAGCAGCTCACATATCACATACCCTTTAGCGTGAGAGCAGCTCACATATCACATACTCTTTAGCTAGAGAGCAGCTCACATATCACATACCCTTTAGCTTGAGAGCAGCTCACATATCACATACTCTTTAGCTAGAGAGCAGCTCACATATCACATACTCTTTAGCTTGAGAGCAGCTCACATATCACATACTCTTTAGCTTGAGAGCAGCTCACATATCACATACTCTTTAGCTAGAGAGCAGCTCACATATCACATACCCTTTAGCTTGAGAGCAGCTCACATATCACATACTCTTTAGCTAGAGAGCAGCTCACATATCACATACTCTTAAGCTTGAGTGCA